AATCAAGAGAAATAAAGTCAACACTCGACAGTCTTGGTAACTCAAGAAGATAATATCGTTTAATGGGACAGCATTAGATTCTTAATTAATACAATAAGAAATGAGAAATGTGGTAAAATCCCAGTCACAAGTTTCCGATGCAGAAGAGAAATTCTTCAGTCCAGGGAAATAGAAATAGTTCAAGATTCGACGTGTTTCCATGGTGGTTACAACCTACACCAAGAACCGTGATTAAGAAGCTGCGTCTGACTGTGTTTAGGGCTTCAATTACGGCCACTGATAAAAAGTTTTCTTGTTCCATTGACTGCAAGAAATTGATCTTCGCACTCAGCACTCCTTGACTGTAGTCAGATACATGAAGTTATAAATCACTAGTTTGGAGGAAAAGTGGTATTCTCAGACTATCTCTTTTATTTCAAGTTGGTGAGCAGTCTCCATTAAAGCAGGTCTCACTATCGAGTGGTCTTAGATACAGCCTCATTTCCAAAACTTTCACGTCTATGGCGTCGGTTATCGATTCAGCATTTAAAAGACGTTCAGCAAATGACAAGACTTCATTTCAAGAAGGAGAAAAGAACCATCATGTTGTTGGGTGATGAATGAAGAGGATGTGATCTTGCTCTTGTACTGATGAGTCAACAATTCTTGTTACGGATTTTTATAAATAAAAAATCCTAGAAACAAAATGATACCAAGAAACATGTTAAATCTAAAAAATTTTAACATGTTAATTTATCAATTAGTCTATATTAGTGTAAACATATCATATCTAAAGGATTTGAGTTTTACAGTCAGTTAAGTCTAATACATCATGAATCTAATAATTATATCAAACTTAGAGTATTTAGATTCAATCATTATCAGATTTTAAAACTATATATTTGACCCTACATGATTTTTTAAATTAAAAATATTATAGGCATGATGTCTCTTCTTCATATTCAATGTATTGATTTTTCTATATCTATAAATATATACAAGATTTTTTAAGAGATATATCATATTTATTATTTCATTGATAACATGCAAGAGCTATTTATTTTTAAGAGATATATCATATTTATTATTTTATTAATAATATCCGAGAAATATTTATTTATTTTAAAACACTAAACAAATTATTTATATATTTTAGATTTTAACACATCATCTATTATTAACTCGATCTTCTGGTAATGTTGAAAGGAGCATGCCTATAGATTAGTAGATGAATATGTGGCTTCAAGGGCACTAACATTCTCCCTGCTTAAGAAGTCTTCATGTCCCTTTGAAGTGAAGAAGAGAACCATTCTGCAGACATGCAAACAATGTAACAATCAGGAGGCTTTTTGTCCCTTTGAAGTGTAGGACCTGCTTTTTTTGTCGATCGCATGAATGCACGTTGGCAAAATATAGCTTTCAATCTCAATCGTCAGCCCCACGTATTCTGTCAATTTTATTTCCATAAATGTTCATCACTCCATAACTATGTGAAAGTATAACATAAAGAAAAGAATATTTCGAGTGTAAACGGCATTACGTGCCAATGTTTATGACAATTTATTGCTTAATTGAAATGGGAGAGAAGATAAACAAACAACTCATCACACTGCTACTATTTCTTGATTTATGTGACGGCATCAATTTAGTTTCAGCTTGATTTTAAGCTTTGGAGGCCAGGCCTTTGATACAAAGATTCTTGCAACATTTTGGTAATCAAAAATGAGGTTCGGGCCATGATTGCCGCTCACAACTTAACTAGACATCCGTAATATCCCATTGTTCCCATGCAAGCATCGGCAGAAGCCACAACAAAATGGAAGGCTAAAGCACAAGAACGATTCCACGTTACCTTTATGCGTTTTCGACTGATAATTTTGGCGTTGAGTGACTTGTAATTTGCTCCATTAAGAAGAGTCTTAAAATTGCATCAGTTTAACAATGATTCCTTACTTCCACTTGTTTTGGATCATAAAATGGAAGTAAAGATCTTGTTGATGAAACCCTCAATTCAGAATTTCATGTATGAAAACAAATCTAGATGTGGGAACTATGGAGGACAAGGGATGGTGAGATAGAAGAGGGTATGCAAACAACACGATATGTTTGAATGAAAAGGGAAAAGGATAGATTAACAGAAATAGAGGGGACGAGAAGAATGAGGTACTAACTCCACTTGGCTAGGTGAATAGATACCGAAATCATGCAACAACAACAATACCATGGACTGAACGGGAGAAGTCTGCTTTCATTATAATGGCTTCCTTCTCTTTTCATGTCTAATTTGATCATCGTCAACAAGTCATTCTTCTCATAACTTCAAACAAAAAACAAGGATGCAAATTAAGCCCATTGTTGCAAGGATATCCTCGCGTTGAGTAATGTATGGGATAAGTTAAAAACATGCTTTGTACAACCATGAGGCTTTTCAAGCTTGCTTTCGTAAATGATGTGGAAGAGTCTACGAGCCTGAGAGAACCTTACTAAGGGTGCTCTGTATTGATGCAACTGAATCTACAGCTGACTTTGTAAGCCAGCTAATTCCCACTTTAAGCCGGTGCTCATCTGTTGGTAATCTAATCAAATAGGCTATTTTCCTCGCTGCAACAGTGGGAAATTTGTGGCTATAAATTAGGATAAAAACAAAGGAGAACATAGATGTTCCACAGCATTGAAATAGATTATTACCAGCATGGCCAACAGGACCCTCTAAGGTTAGTCCTTCAATGAAACTCGGTGAAAGAGCAGCGTCATTTCTTCCCAGAGTCATCATTTCACCTAGATTCTGAAACCTGGCAATCAAAAACAAATGATGCAACTTCATGTAAATGATATTTCTGTAAGAAGTAAGCTAGTTGAAGACATTCTACAAGACAGACTATAATCACAGAACCTAAATGGCAACAAAGGCCGGTCATTAATTGCTGCCCACAAATTCCAGCCAGTAAAATCTGCCTGCTGGAAAGCAACCTGAGAGGTGCAGCGAGGAGTCAGTGAATGGGGATCGGTGGTGTGGAAATGTTCATATTGAAAGATGGAAAAGAAAGCATTTTCTTCCCACATCTAAGAAAATGAAATATTACAATACCTGAGCAGTTGCTGGAAGAATCCTTCCATTCATATCCCTAAGCGCAGAAGAGTCACCAAGTGCAAATATGCGTGGATGGCCCTTAACACGGAGCGTTTCATCTGTCTCTGCTTGTCCCCGGCCATTCAGAGGAAGCTCGTGGGTCTTATCATAGGGTTCCAATTGAGGAAGCGGGGGTTTAGACCCAACAGTCCATAACACTAGATCTGCTTCCAGAATCTCACTCTGTAATCCCCTTTCAGCAGGTTGAAGTTCCAAAATATATTTCTCAGAACCATGTTCTGCTAGTGTTTTCGGAAATATCCCAGCCTCTGTTGGCATTGCAGAACCTTCCAAGTCAATCTCTTTCCTGATACAGCGTACAAAATAACCCAATAGAAGCTGGACTTTCCTGGATGAAAGAACCTAGTTCCAATAAAAAAAGCTAAGTAAATTTCAGAGTACTGATTGCAGGTAAACTTATAATTTAATCAAGGAAAAAATTAGGGCACCAGTGAGAATGATAAAAACTCCAGATTCCTAAAGCACATAGATTGGAACAATCAAGGACATGAAAAATGAAAATGAACTCGATTGCCTTTAACAGCATTCCAAGAGCATGAAAATTTTCTCAGCACTTTTTTTTTATTTGGAATTAAAGGTATTGATCTCTACCTATTAATTAATAACAAAATGAATATATCTGAAATTAAGAGAGAGTAGTCAAGGAGGTATCACTAATTCATGTCCCTTTGAGCATGTAAAGGTGTAACTAAAAATTGCACCAGTAAGATTTTTCAAAAAATACATGTTTTCCTGACACAAAATCTAGATATCTTACTTTAAGTGCAACTTCCCTATTGCCAGGAGGGGCAGTTGGCAAGATAGTAGTGTTCACATTAATGGCTTGTACTAAACCTCTGTCTTGTAGTCTCTCTGATACTGTAGCAGCCAACTCAACTCCAGAGTAACCACAGCCAACAACAGCCACACGAATCAGAGAGTCCTTGCCAAACTCCCTCCTCTCTAATTCTTTCAACTTATTGTCAACCTTCTGCAAAGATACCAGCAAGGAAAGGCAGTGAATACAAATGAATTCCCTTTTGTCCAATGCATGAAGTCAAACAGCCAAACTCTTACACAGGCATCCTCAAGGGTGGAGAATGGAAATGCAAATTCTGCAGCACCTGGTACAGTATCAAGTTTAGCTTCAGCCCCCAAAGAAAGAACCAACCTGGCTGCCCAGGACAAAAGAAAGTAAAATCAGCGAGGAATTTGAGATTTACTTAAAACGTAAGCAAGGGTCAATTTACTTCAAAACTGATCAACAGCACCACATAATGTCAACAAAGCTCCTAAGGTGCCAATGGACATTACATTTCATATTTTTTAGTGTGTATAAGAACATTAGCACATTATTGCTAATCCTTTTTTCTTCTACAATTGTTTCTAGATCAACTAAGTTTCTCCACAATATCAGAGCAGAGAAAGAGCCCATTTTCTTGAGTTTTTTTTTTTTTTTTAATAATAAAGGAAGCTTGAATATACACAAAAATATGGCAGAAGATGAATGAAGCAATACCAGTCATATTCAATAAGAAGGCCACTTTCAAGCACCACGGTTCCTCCAGAACAATATCCTGTTGACCCATTCATGCCCAAGTGATCAGCAGGACGTAACATCTTTACTCTATCTTGGAAAAACTGTATGCCAGTGTTTGCAAGCAATTCTGAGAATCGGGGAGCAATTTCCCATGCATCCACCTCTGCATTAGATTCAATCACCCATTCACTTTGATAATGACATTTATAAGGAATTGTCACTAGCAATACACAATGAACAACATACCTCCAGATAGAAGCTCATACAACATTGGTTTGAAAACAAAACGTTCAGACTGGTCGACAAGAAGAACCTAGGCCCAGAATTTACAAACATCAAAGCTGTTAATAATAGCACCGAGTTATGAATATACTTTATGTTCTTAAGTTCTCCCTTCTCTACTGTAAATTATATTCAGAGATCATTGCAGCAATAAAAAAAATCAGAATTAGTTAAATGATCAAAAAAAGCACGCCTGTTTGTGCACATCAAAGCTATATTAATAAAATCTTACCTGAGGCTTCTTGTCGTCGGCCCAAATAAGTGATTCTAGTCTTAAAGCAGTATATAAGCCTCCAAATCCACCACCTAGTATACACACCTTTGGCTTCTGTAACCAAAACCACAATATGTTATTCAAAATACATCATCTCTCAAAACTAAAACTTGTAAGATAGTTTCAAATTTGCAAAAAGACAAAAGGCCGCATACTGTTTACACATCATCCAAGCATGTGTGCTTGTGGAAGCATTATCATACTCGAATAAAAAAGATATTCTCATACCTACTAAATTTGCGAATTCAATTCCATCAAAGCTCATGACTTTATATTAAGACATTGAATTGATTTTACGATTGAGAAACCTAAAAAGATACATAAAAGACAAAATGCATTTTTTGTTAACAAAACGAAAAATATGCTGAAATTACAGTAAGGATATCAGAATTCAAGCCTTGACTTTAGATGAACTCCAGTTTAGTGCAAGTAGAACTAAAGAACTAATATAAGAAACTTTGAAGACCCGCTCGCTGAAATTTAACAAAAATCAAATCAAGAAGATTACACAATTCTACTGCACAAACAATCAAATGCAAATAAACCCATGAGAAACAACACCATTGGCACGGCCAGTATGTTAAAATACTAATTAAATTTGCAAATCGAAAAAAAAAATGATATAAGGATTGAAACTTTCACCTTATTATCAGGCCATGTATAAATTCTCTGGGGAGTTTCTTTTTGAGATATATCTTCATTGACTGGACTCGGAGAAGCAGCGGCAGCAGCAGCAATTCCATTTCGAAATCCAATTCCTCGCTTTTCAAACAATAAAGAGAAATTGATGCTGTGTGCAGTTCGAGATGATACCTTGTTCCATCTATTTGCATTTGGAATCCCTTTGCAGGCATAAAATTTAACAACTTTAGTGAGTGTAAGGATTTGCAGAGAAAGCACTGAATTGGGAAATAAGGAAAAAAGAAATGGTTGAGTATGAGAGAAAGAAAACTTACGATTGAGAGGCATAAGAGCTGAAGCAGATAATGCCATCACAGAGAGAAGAGGGGAGGCAGTGCGGAATAGAGAGCTGGGAGTAGCAGAATAGGCTTTATGTTTTTGTGGAAACGGCTTTGTAGCGTGTAACAAGCAAATCCAATATTTCGAATCTTTTTTATTTTTTATTTATTTTTTTATGAACTGATTTTTTTATTTTTTCACCAGTAATGGTATACAAATAAAAAAAAATATAGAAACAATAATTTTTTTTCAGATACATCAATTGTTTTTCTTGATAACATTTGACAAATTAGAAACAGAAACATATAATTAAAAAAATAAGAATTAAAATAAATTTTTTAATAATTTTTTGATTTTTTAATTTAAATAATTAGATTCATTTTCTATATTAAAGACATCTAATAAGTTGATTTGAAAAGTTCATACGAGGATTAGTAAATGATATCAAGTAATCAATAACCATGATAATAGTAGGTGATACCTAATAAATTAAGTAATTCATAGTTGTGATAGTAATATATAATATCTCATAAGTTAAATAACTTGTAACTTGTGCGTTTAAAAAATTATTTTTGATGAACGTAAAAATTCTTTAATGGTAAAGTGAATAATTTTGTTGAGAGAGAAAGCACAATAGTATCTTTGATTTAAAAGATTTATGTTTTGTTTATAACATATGAATCTTATTAATTTATAGTGGGAAAAGGTTAAAGTATAATTTTATATTTATGATATTTTAAATTATATTTTACTCAAAATAATAAATATTTAATAAAAATAAAATATCGAAAAACTCACATAAAATCCCAAGAAAATACTTAAGGAGTGTTGGGCGCAAACCTTTTAGAGATGATAAATGAATTTAAACATATTGTCCGAACCCAAACATATAGAAGTCCAAGCCTATGAGGTGTTGGGCATGGGCATGGAATATAAACATGTAGAAGTCCAAGCCTATGAGGTGTTGGGCATGGAATATCCATGCCCATGCCCGCTCTTATAGCCCTTGCTATACTTTGAGCTTGGAATAGTAACCTCGAGCTCAATGGATGCTCTTATTATAGTTATTTTAGAGCAATTTTTAGATTATTGAAAGATTTTTTGGGTTTATTTTATTTGTATCCATCCACATAGATTTTTCATTGTTTAATCAAGCTAATAATGGCATATATTGTGAGGATGATGAAGATCAGCATGCTGTGTTGATAAATTCTATCAACTTCTTAGCACAAGTTCATGAGGAAAAAATCTTGAGAGCTTATTTTTTTTAACTAATCCCAATCTACTTACCTTAAAGGTTTGAATTTAATCTATATTTACACATTTATGGAAGTCGAGTTGAGACATCCCACTGTAATAATCAGGCTCCGTTTGAGCAAAGGGTAATGGCGGTGAATTCTGGGCTTTCGTCCCTGTTTGGTTACCTGTTGTGTGGAGATCATGGGATCCCATCTACTTTACATCATTCAAAAAAAGCTTTATCATGCATATTTAGATTGTTGGGTTGATTGTGTTTTATAATATTTTTTATTTAAAAATATATTAAAATAATATTTTTTTTTGAAATTATAAAAAATAATTCTTTAAAAAATAAATTTTAAGTTGCTTGGAAAACTTGAAACTCCAGCATACTAAAAAATCTTAAAACCTGTTAATTTTTGTATTTTAAAAAATATTTTTAAAAAATTTTATTTTTTTTTTATTTTAAATTAATATTTTTTATATTTTCAAATATAAAAAATAATTAATAAAAAATATTTTAAACAACAATCACTTTATATATTTCCATATTTACAAGAACATTCGTGTCACCATGGGTATGATGAGGTGTTGTACTGTTCCCGGCCGTCTTGGCTGTAGATAGGCAACTTGCATGAAGACACATTGAAAGGAGCCATCCATGCTCACACGCACCAGAACCCCCTTTTTCTACTTCAACGTCCAATCACCTGCGAGCATGGCATGCCGTAAAAAGTAGGCGTCAGCATATATAGAAATGTCCAAAGGCACTGGCAAGTTGATAAAAGCTTGGAGAACCTTATCATGTTAAGAATTTATGTTCATCAATTATCTTATTAAGAAACTGTTGATTTTGTTTTAAAATAAAATATTTAGATAAAAATAATATTATTTTAATTTTTCTAAAAATACTTTTAAATAAACTAAATTAAATTAAATTATTTTTTTATTAATATAGATATTTAAGTTAACTTACATATATTTCAATTAATTTCATATGTCTTAAAATTAATAATTATATAAATGCTTAATGATTTGAAAGTTTGTAAAACATGAATAAAAAGTAAACTTAAAATCTAACATGTTAAACTATATCCATTGAATTAGAAAGGAATTGAATTAATTCTATTAATCTGTATATATATATATATATATATATATATAAAGACAGGAAATTTTGTATAGTTGGAAATGCAAAATGCTAAGGTACGCAATAAATTATTATTTTTTAAGTCAAGAGGCAATGAGTTCTCAAAGACAAGCTTTCCAGCGGTCCAATTTAAAGGAACAGCAGAGAGCTTCAATCCAAACTTGAAAGTTCGTGAATGTAATAAAAATAACTTTTCTGCAAGGGAAAACAACTTGTTCTTGTGCAGGTTAAATTGAGCTTCAACCCTTTATTTTTTATTTCAAAAGTATTTTAAAAAAATAAATATTTTTTTTATTTTAAATTATTTATATATATATTTTTAGATTATTTTCACGTTTTACGAGCAGAAAAAATCAATGACTGGTGTCATGCGTTGCATTGTCTTTCCCGAGGAAACAACTTGCAATGTGAAAACCGCTGGCAGCTGTTTTCTTGCTGTGATGTCAAAGTTAAGATCGGAGCTTTATTGACTTCATTCACTCTTATCTTCTGTTATTGATATAAAGGGTAAATTAAGCGGACACGCGAATTAAACAACTGTTTTTATTAGATCCATATCTTTTTTTCTTTTTCAAGTAATAAAAAAATAATTAAACTTTAAATAATTATTAAATATTTTTATTAAATTGTCTCGATAAATCAACCTTAAACCTCTAATCTAATTTTTTATTTAATTTAAATCTAAAATTAAATAATATAAAAATCATCATAATATAATTTAATCATTGTGATCAGTTCAAAAATATCTTAATTATTTAAAAATAATTCTTTGAATGAAATTAAAAAAAAAGATGAGATTGATATAAAAAACTCTCTATTTAATTTCTTATTTAACTTGAATTTAAAATTAAAACTTATAGCAATTACCTTAACATAATTCCGGTTGGCTTGGTTGTTTGAAAAGCAATATTAAATTTTTTTAAAAAATAATATTTAAGAATGAAATTAAAAAATAAAAAATAAAACTTCCTTACTCGAGTTTAAAACTAAATTATATAAAAATTATTTTAATATAATTTAATCAACTTGATCGATGTAAAGTTAATCTAGATAACAGTTAAAAAAATAATTTAAAGATAAATATGAAAAAATAAAGATTGAGATTTAAAAAAAAAAAACATGAAAGATGAATTAAAAAGACAAAAAAATTAGCTTTATTCAAAATAAGTAAATAATCTTAAATATACTCTAAAATTAAAAAAATAAAATAATTTAAAGATAAATATAAATCTTGAATGATTAACTTAACAATCTTAAATATATCCCAAAATTATTCTAAGAAAATGAAACTCAATGGAATTCAAAATAAGTAAACAAGCTCCAATCCAATTTTTTATGGCATTTTCAAAGAGAAACATTATTTTTATTAAACTTTCTTTTATTAAAAAAATATTTTTTTATGAAATCCCTGTTTTGATATCTCCTCGTAGAAGGAAAAACGAAAAGAAGAGAGACACCATGTACGACGTGTAGATGAGCTGGTGAAGGAAAGTTAAATCATGAGCACCATCGGAGATTCCACCGGCCTTGCTAACTGTTGTTTTCTGCTCGGCACAGCTGGCCGGCTGGCTTTTATCTTTTCTTTTCCGAGAAAAACATGGCAATCAATATATACGGAATCCACAGGCCTTCAGTTTTTGGTGCAGGTCCCCTCCGATACTTTGGTCCGTCGGTTTCTTTTGTATATAAGCAACGTTTGGAGCATTGGAGTATTGTTATAATTATTTTTTATTTAAAAAATATATTAATAATATTTTTTTATTTTTTAAAAATTATTTTTAAAATTAGTATATTAAAATAATTTAAAAATAAAAAAAATATTAATTAAAATAAAAAAATTCAATTTTTTTTAAAAATACTTTTAAAAAACACTCTCTAACCTCCTGATTCACAAATGCATCATTAATTCTCTCTCTTTATTTCTTTTTAATTAACATATATTTCTCAATCAATAGAAATATTTTAATTAATTTTTTAAATTAATAATTATATAAATTTTTAATAATTCTAGAACTCAAACTACTAATCTTAAAAAATAAATTAAAAAGTAACTAATTGTATTATATCCTTTAAAATCATCATCAATTCTCTTTATTTTTTTATGAATTATTAACTAAATTCATAAATTTTGTTTTAGTTGAAGTAGGCATGTATGTGTTTGACATTGATCTTCCGTTTGTCTGCAGGAAAGTTGTTTCATTTTGAAAAGTGAATTTCGGGGAAATGAATTCCTGAAAAATAAAGTATTTTTCAATGTTTGGCAGTGTTATGGAAAATGAACTGGAAAATACTTTCCAGTGTTTGATTATGTTGTGAAAAATGAACTGGAAAATAATTTATTAATATTTTATTTTTCTCAAATTTATTAAAATAATAAGGAATAAATCTTACAAATTAAAAAATTGAATAATAATGAAATTGAAAAAAAATAATTTCATAAATTATATCAAATAAAATAAATAATAATCAAAATAATAAAGATCAAATCTAAAAAAAAAGATGAAAAAATTAAAATAATAATAATTAACATTTCATAAAGTATTTCAAATAAAATAAATAACAATCAAAAGAATGAGGACCAAATTTGATAGAAAAAATTTTCAATAAAAAAATAATAGGAGAAAAGCAAATAACAATTATAAAAATGAGGACCAAAGTAAATATAAAAATTAAATTTTAAGAAATAAAATTAAAAAATAAATATTCAAAACAAAATATATATAGCAATTAAAAATTTGAGGATCAAATTTG